CATTCAAACAATCAATTTGCCACCAGGGTATCCCGTACACCACTACTGCATGTGTAAGCACCACTGGCTTCATGATCAACAGTTTCTCAACACATCCAGAGATCAGTTATAAATACTAACAATTTGAAAATACAATTTTTCAATTTTACAACATACAAGCTTTGTCTATGAGGAAATTAGGAATCCCATATCAAAGAAAAAAAATGAAATTTTTTGAATTTCTACTAAATTTGAGACCATCTATAAAGTACAAATCTGTTCGTAAATGGGTTCCAACCCCACCATAAATTTAAGTATTTCACCATAAAATACCAATGAGAAAAAGAAATATTATAAAACTGACCAAAATCCAAGAAACTGGGCAAGTAAGAAGGATGCACTTATTAAAGCGTGGAATGAAGTTTTTGTCTAAACTTTGTAGATATAAAAAAGAAGGAAAGGTCTTTTTTTTTAATTTAAATTAGAGCTCTTCTTTATCTTTCTTAGCTTTCTTTGGGATATTCAAACCCTTTGTAGCTTCCCTCTTGATGTATTTCATAAAATCATCCACTTCTCTGCCGCCCTCATATTTTTTAGGTTTGTTGTTCATTGGCACCCAATACAAAGTAGGGAATCTGGAAGAGAAAATCAAAATACCTTATTTATAACAGAGTCCACGTTTCATACATCACTGTGAAGTTATAAATATGGTATGGGAAAGAATTGATGGATTCTTAGGGATTTCATAACAAATTTCAGAGAAAATATCTATTTTTTTTTTTTAAATTATGAACATTTTACTGGACTTTTTCTGTCATGACTGAAATATGTGGCTGGGATGGACCATTCCTGGAGGGGGTGACAGCTTTACTGAAATTAATGCAAGATTACTGGAGGGGGAGAGGTGGTTGTTACGTCTTCTTACCCTCTAACTTCAAAAGGTGGGGGTACATCATTAGCTGTGGCATCCATTTTAGCTATCACAATATTATCATCTGCTGACAACTACAAGAGAAATGTAAAAATTATCAATAAGCAACACGTCTATTCCTAGGTTTATTTTTAAATTTTAATTGGATCGTACAAAATACGCCAACTTTTGAAGCGGGGGAGTCGTCATCTGTGCATGCGTCAGATGGCCATAGCCTGTCATTGTTTACAAACAAGCGTCTACCCATGAGCCTTTGCATTTTTAGTGTGTGTTGTTATCGTCGCTTGGAACTCCATTCCCACTCGTGCACAGGTGACGGCTCTCCCGTTTAAATCAAGTTTGAATCACGTAGCCAACATTCTGACAAAAGTTGATAATATGGCAACAGTTTGTAACACTTGCTCATTAACAGCATGCAAACACTTCTCACAACAGAATTTGTGGGATAAAGAGTCATAATGACTCCTAAACGCACTAGAGAATTATAATTATATTAAGTCATTCATATTACTATTACCTTTTCTGCAAGTTCATCATATTTTGGTGCGAGGCTCTTACAATGGCCACACCACGGTGCATAAAACTCAATTAAAACATCTTTCTCCTCACTCATCACTATGTCCTGGAAATTTTTGGCAACAATAACCTGAAATTTGAAAGAATAGAAAATTAATACACTTGTATTTGAGAAATAGCCCAAAAAATAAATACTGTAAAAACATTTATTTTCACTGACATTTAATTCTACCATTTTAATGCTTTGAGCAATTTCACAAACTTGGCAGAGAAACGAGTTCTATTCAGTCCAGATTTTGCTTGTTGACAAAATAGCGAAATAAAAAACCAAATAAAACTGAACAAATAGTTAGATTTAGTGTTTTGTACAACTAAGTGAAAGAGGTACCAGTTTATAACACCCTATGTTGATCACATGCAATGTATAAAACACATAATTTTCTGGGAAAGGCATTCATAACAGCAGGGATTTTTTTAAACAAGGGAACAGGGGCGCAGCGCCCTCATGCCATGGCCATGCACTCCCTTGCCCTGGGGAGCAGATCCTCTTCCAACCATAACATTCTGAATGACCAGGGATCACACGTGGCCACACAGTCTTCAACTGTGACCTGTCCGATAGTAATTCTGGCGCAAGGAAGCCATAGAATGCTCCAATTTAATTTAGAATTATCAAAAACTCCACACCCTGGTAGGGAGAATCCTATCTCCCCCACTTGGTGGCGCCGTTGAATTGCAGTGCTCCCTCTTGTAGTTTTTTTCTAAAAAAAACCCTGCAACAGTATTTACGGTTTCATGTACTCTGAATGTAAAGTCAAACAATAAAACATTTTCAGTTCAATGCGAGATTCCATGTTGCGCGTGAAATCGAACGTAAAATCAGGACAAACAAAACATGTAGTTACATCAAAAGATCACATGGGATTTGACAAACACAAAAGTAAATTTCAGTGTATTTCAACGTTATATACATGATTGTCAACTTTGATGAAGGTCAGCAAAAAAATTCAAATCATTCGATTTTTGCAACAGACGTTGGGTCTGCACATTTCGCAATATACATGATCTTGTAGTGAATAGAAAATCATCTATTTATCAGATCCGAATGAAATTAAAGCACATTTGAATGAAAAACTTAATATTTAAATTTGGAAAAGGGATGGGGCACAACAATTCCAAATGATTTCTGTATAAAACACCCAGGAGGTTAAAGAAATTCTTACCTTAACTGGTCCATCATCAGATTCTGGGATTGGTTCACTCTTGAGGTAAGGCTCAATCTTACCATCCAGGTAATCATTAACAAACTCTTCTAAAGCTTTACCATCACGACTGTGGGAAGAAACAGTTTTGATCAATATTGGGTCAGTTTACTTAAACAATTAGGTTTGGGTTTTTTTCCTCTGGACTTGCGAAAACTATTACTTCACATGTACAAGTGTATGGTAAATTTACTGACTCACTTGTGCCACTGCATATACCACAGTAGAGCAGCCACAAATCCAAATCAATCGCATCTTCAACATAAACTACTATATATACCAAACACAAGTACATTTCATAAATATCAAGTTCATTGACAGGAGTTCAGTTATATTTCCAGTGGGCATGATAGCGCTACTGTGTCTGAGAGTTTTCAAATAAGGTGTTAAAGTGACATTCATTTTCAGCAACACCTTCGAACACGTCCGTACAGCATTATACAGATTGATGAAAACTAATGTTTTTGGCATCTGATGTACAACTGCACCACTATTAATTGCACTATTGAAGTACAAAAACTTACGTGAAGTCTGCTTGCATAGGATATTTATGACCTTCGTCTGTCACTATGGCTACAACTGGAAGATCCACAGATTTGTCTGTAAGTCCGTTAGCTTCAACTTCGTGCGAAAATTCTTCACGGTTGGCAACGGCAAAAAAGATTTTCTTGTCGGAAAGTTTTTTTGCTACCTTCATAATCCTGCAGATATACAAAGTAGTTTATGATTTCAAAACTGTACAGATTTCAAAACTGTACATGATAAGATTTATCTGCTTCAGATTTAATGATGTACTGCAGATTAATTAATGTATTTTGCAGATCTGATCAGAAAAATCTGATTACATAAACGCCTACTTTCCCCCATCAGACAAATAAAATGCAGATTGATCAGATAAATTTTATCATGTAAACAGTTTTTGGATGTGCACATGCTTTAATAGGTAGAATAGTTTTTGTATATACAACTATTTTATATATCTGACTGGTGAATTTCAAATGCCCTAAAATGTGTCAAACCTCAACTGACCACCTATTCTACTTCTAACTTCATCTAAAAATTGTTTGCAATCCACCTTTTAATAAAGTTCCAGGCACATCATTCAAAATGCATTCTGACCAATAGCATGGCAGTAAAGCAGAGAAAAAATGCATTCTGACCAATAGCATGGAAGTAAAGCAGAGAAAAAATGCATTCTGACCAATAGCATGGCAGTAAAGCAGAGAAAAAGCTATACATAATTTTATATCATTTGGCAAGTGAAAAAGAAAACAGAAAACGACATAAATACTACCAAACTAGGAATGTTATTCTAAATGAGAAAACTTTTGATTGTGAAAAAATAAATTATGAAATCAAAATGCCATTCCTACTACACCTCCTATCCTACATCAATAGAGTAAACATACAACTGAGTGATTAGAGCATTATAGCTTTATACAACAGACAAAACAGTTTTTGGGTCAAGCAAAAACTCAATGAGCACTGAGCCAAGTCAAGTTAGCAAAGCGTTACTAAAATTCCAATAACCCAGTCAACTTTACAAGACGGTTGAAATGACCGCAAATGAGATTCGTATAGATAATTTTCAACTTTCTTTGCATAGTCACAACAATGTTGCAATAATCGTAATAATCAAAATAAAATTGACTCCAGTCTGAGTGGACCTATCTATTTCATTGTGCCAGGAGAAGTGAGCTTGTCACAAAATGTTGCAAATTGTTTCCATAACATTTAGATTATTTGATAATACTAATCGAAAACTCCCTCGCTATATTGTAAGGTTTATAGTGACTTTCCTCGGGCGTTTGCGTATGAATCTTGTTTGCGTTCATTGTGAGGAAATCTTTCCTTTCATTTGAAGCATGATAATTTAGGTAAGAGAGTTGTTTTACATTCATTACATGCCCCATGGAACCTATGCGACGATGATGACTAACGCTTTGGAGTTTGATTTGAATAAATTCTCACCTGTTACGCCAGTAATTTGTGCCTGAAATGAACAGAATATAAACATCATGAAAAAAAAGTATTCCAAGGACTTATAAGATAAGGGTATGCAAGGTGTGATAAGCGATCACGATCACAAACATATGTGATGTTCACAAAATAGATTATCTTATAAAATTGATATCATATTTGCTCTATCATTAAAATAATGTTGACCATACAAACTTTGGTAATTTACATAAGCAAATGCAATACTAATACAGCACAATAAAAATTTTAGTATGTCAGTAGTGCATGGTGGTCCTTACCTTTAGTGTTCTTTCGGTAATCCACGTCATAGTAAACTACACAAAGAGGCTTTTTGAATTGTGAATGGTTGTCTGGTGTCATGTGACCACAAAGGCCAAGGCTGAAAAAAATAGAATAAAAGAATAATTAATGCCGTGTCATGACAGCATGGAATATTTTTCATACATTATATACATTATTCCATTCTTAATTTTTGTACAGCTATAACATGTATTGTACCCAATGGGGAAAAATGCTAAGGTTGTTCAAAACTTCACCAGCTGAGGTACCATCGGCAAATCACTATAGAAGTCTTTCAGTGACATCACTTTGCACGAAATTGCTTTGATGTATAGCGACGATTGTTGAGGCAAAGAATTGCCACAGGTAATTCCCATGGAACAACACATGCTGGAGGCCTCTACATAATGTGAAAGACCCATTATGTTTACCATAGAGTTTATGAAACCATGCAATTCTGTTGATGGGAAATTAGAGAAGCCATCAATCATGATGAAATACCATATTTCTTTGATGGTAATGTTTAGCTTCATAATGAAAATGAAGAATAAGTTACTTCATATACAGTGCAGATTTTTGTACAATTTATGGCAATGAATTCTATAAACAATAAATAATGCTCAACAGTTCCAACAGAATTTCAGGTTAACATTCGTAAGGAAAAAAATAACACTTGCCACATTTGATTTACAAGTAATACAAGTGCTCATTTAAACTGAAGATTTTTCTATAGTCAAAATAAGTAAATGAAATATTTTGTTTATGCATGCTTCTATTGAAGATGCGCTTCTAACAGAACAAATACAGTTTAACTTTTAGTAAATGACCAGCGACTTTCGGCACCATTCACAAAACAATCTCATAATATTTCGCATGTTTGTTTTTTTTAACAAGTTTGATCTCAATATGTAGCTATTCAGTCAAAATTAAAGAATTTATAAAAAAAAATATTTATCCTGCTTAGAAATTTGCGGAGAAAAATTATAGCATATGACACGCAATTCAAACTCACATTCTGACATAAAAATAATAAAATACTGTACCTGTTTTCTTTAACAAACTTTTTTAAGTTTCCACTTTTAACTGTGCCATCAAATTTAATTTTTGAGTCTTCAAATTTACTTTGTAAATGGGTTGGTCTGAAGATTACAATGTCACCACTGAGAAAACAGAAAATACACATGAATGAAAAAACTCATCATTGGTCAGTTTTAGCCAAGAGCTTGTCCAACAACATCATTTTCTCTTTCCTTTGAGCTATGTTTAACATCTATTGTTTCATCAGACGCAAGGCATTTGCTTCATCGGTTATATATCAATGTCCCGTTTTTTGTCTCAAAAAATGCAAGAAAAAACAATTTATAACAAACTTGTTTTCAAATAAAACATTTGATATGTCATTTTATAACAGATAGTTTATGAACATTCATTGAGGACACCATCTCCACTATAAGGGGAACAAAATAGTCTCTGTATCAAGTATCACATGGATGGATAATAATCTCATACTTTCATAACTGTTGGGACAATACTGCCTTGTATATCTGAATTGTGGAGAGAACACTGCTGCTACTGAGTATGTTACCGAATATGTGTATAATATTTAATGGGGAAAATTCCATGAATAAGAAGGAATAACATCTTGGAATGCAATTAAACAACTTTTTCAGCCTGTGAACCTAAAATGTCTTTAATGGCGTCATCAACCCACAATAATCGTCTTGTTAGTATAATATTAAATGATTCTTACTTTTCAGTTCCTAGTCTATCAAGGACAGCCTGCTCCCCTGTGTGAACAAATTTATAATTGTCTCTTTCCGAACCAGCAAATTTTAAAAACTCTTTTTTGGCATCACTATCATCGGTAAAACAACCAACAACAAGAAGATCCTTGCCGCTGAGAAGTTTATCAATATCCTCTACTGTTTTAGCTTCTCTGGATGTTGGACCAGCTTGCTTTTTCATATAGTCGATAATACCATCTGAGAAAAAAAAAGTTTTCATTCATTAAGTTGGCAAGTAAGTTTCAATTTTAATCAATCACTAGCAGGCTTAACTTTACTAATAAAACAGTCACATTCCTGAGGCTAATTGGAATGAGGAAGCAAGATGCATGGGGAATTTATGAAATTGTACATTTTTTGGTAGCAACTTTTCTTAATTTTGTCACTTGGAGCAAGTTGATTTTAAACGACACAATGAAAGATTGTCACTAATATCATTTCCATGGAAACCAAGTCATCGTGTCCCTAGCATTACGGGCCAAAAAGAATACCCTATAATTATACATTTACGGCAGCAACAGACAATGGCGGTTATTGACTATGACATTCACAATCATGTGCGGGAAATTGCAGGATAATATTTTACAGCAGTTTCCAAAAGACAAATTGTTCAGCAATCTATAGCAGTTGCCCATTTTTGTAACCATGGCAACATACTTCAAATGACTTAAGTGAACTGATTGCCCGCCCATTAATTTTTTTTTTTTATCCGTACAACAGACTCTATAATATAGCGCTACACAAGCTTTCCAGTTTTGAGTGACAGATGTACATGCTCAAAATAACCAACCATTGTCTAACAAAATGTATGGTTAACTAATTCTTGCACTGTACGGTATACAATCGACTACCATATCATTTTGATTGGATACTCAACTAACTGCATAGAAAAAGCATCCTCACCTGCTGACCTTGGTCCGTTATAATCAGACGCTTCACCATCACGGAATACTTTTAGAGTAGGATAGCCGCTGACGCCATACCTACTACAAGTATCTTTTTCTGCTGTGCAGTCAACCTGTAGCAAAATATTAAATCAATTTATTATAACATGGAAAGATGTGCATTAACACTAAGGTATAACCGGATTAAACCAAACAGACACACTTTTGAACAATTTTTTTGCAAAGTTTGCTTTAAGCAGGCTTCCTTGTGCATTTCAGAATTTTGAGTGTAGATCACTTATTTCAAGCAAAAGCAAAATAACACAACAGAACATAAATATAACAGTTTCGCAAGTTTGCATTAAATTATTTATCATAAACTGTCTTTGAGGTAGTGACATTCATGAAACAAAATTACATGTGAATCAAAGTTGATACTGGCCAGAAAGCAGTTCCAGTGGACTAGTGAGAAAACATTGTTAGATTCACGTACAATTCATGTACAATTGAAATTTCTATAATTTACACAAGTGTTTTAATTATATATAGCAATTTTTGTCTTGGGGGGAAAAATAGGGAATACCGTAACATGAATTATGGGTAAAATAAATTTGTTTAAGTTGGTATGCAGAAACTGTTTTATAATACATTGCACCTAATTTTATTTCATGTACTGCTTATTTGGGCGACTGGCACCTTAATTTATTTGTAACATCATTAAAACCCAACAATTTTATTTGTTCATAACCAGTTCTCCAAGATAATTTCAAAAAATTATTATGATGACAGTAATTATCAAGTTGTAAGTGCAACTTGCATTTTTTTTTTTTAAATCAGATTCAATAAGGCTGGCTGGCAGCCCTTTTGTTTTTCACTGAAAATGAGCTGGTACTTTAATTATTGTACAGGGAGATGCATTTAATTTTAGCAAATTTGGTGTTACAGGGATATTTACCGGTAATATGTTTTAATAATACTTGTTTGTAAAGGAGACCAGAGATTTGTTTTGTTAACTTTGAGTTTTAATTTAGTGCATTTTGTCATCAGTAGAATAAGTGAAAATAAAACCCAGCTACCAGTAATAATACAGGCATTTTTATTTCAGAAATGTAGAGATAATGTTGAAAATATCAGCAGACATCAATGCAATAGTTCTTTGAAGACAGGGTTGCATTCAGCCAAACTCTTCTATCACAAAGAAGTATGGGTATTATGCCCGAAAAAATAATTCTGTGATAAAATACCATACCAATTTCAAAAGGGAATCATACCTTCAACGCATACTAATTTTCATACGTGTCGAGAGAAATCACAAAATTTTGTAGCAATGTTATTATCGTTCATTCATTCTGCATGAACCTCTTTTTAAAAACTCAACTTTAAATTGATTCCATTAATCCCAGATTTAGCTTTGAATCACTGACGCGAGAATCCTAATAGTGACAATCCAACATAGGTACCACATCCAAGGATTGATAGATGGCAACATATGTTTTAACCTCTAAATGTTGCTTTGTAATACATACATCAATACCTCATTTACACTTGTTACAATAAAATAAACAGTACAATACTCTGAACAAAATTTACCCCAGATTAATACCATATGTTTCGAAATTCGGCCAATCACAGACAGCTAAGTGGAAGCTAGTTTGTGGCACATAGAACAGCTATAAAAATATCATTTCCGCTTCAGTGAAATTTTTCTTTTGTTAGCTTAAAAGCAAGCTGCTACCAATTTTTATACCATTCAGTTTTCTTTTTAGAATTATACCACCGAGGCAAGGGTACAAACTATTTCCTTTTAAATTAATACGGTTCAAGTTTATGGAATACAAGAACCTCATAATAATTTCAAATTCTGACAATATTTGTACAACGATTTTTACGGGATCTTGCGGGCAATTATTCAAAACAGTACGCATGCACGGTTATGTCAATTTGATTTTTTGTTTAATGGGTATACAATTGAAATTAATTAGAAAGCATCATTTCAGAGAAACAAATCTCGTCAACAAAGAATGTTATGTAACCATTTATAATACAATACTATTTCAATTGATTATTATTTAGTTATATTATACACTTATTATATTGTTATCAGTTCCCGTCTAGCATAATGTCTAGTAAGCACAAAATGATAAAAGGAATTCATGTGAATGTCATCTGAGACATGCTGAACTCAGTATGGGTATACAAAACAAACATGCTTGAATGCTCTAACTACAAGTTAATATCATACTATTGTGCACCCAATAAAAAAGGAATTATTTTTCTCCAAATATTTAATTAAAGCAGCCATATTGAACTGTTCAGAAATGTTACCATAGTAACTGCACCTATCTAGATTTGTGGGCCTATTAATAATCCATAACCATAATCTTGATCAAATAAATAAAATAAAGCATCTTACTTTTGCCAGTGGTACTGATGGATCACTATATTTGAGGTCAGTTGCTGCTTTTTCATATTCTGGGGCCAACTTTTTGCAGTGACCGCACCTGTGAAAAAAAATGAAGAACAAATTCACTGAAATGCAATGTTTTTATTCATCAGGTTACAGTTTTTATATTGTTGTCACTTTCTTAATTGAAATTATAGGTTAATCTGGGTGATAGTATGGTGGTTAGGGTGTTCACATCAGGGAGGTTTTGGGTTTGATTCCCAGAGCCGACTTCACTCTTATATAAATCAGAATACAGTCTGCCCTGCCTTCCAAATACACGGTACAAGGTTTAGAAGACTGGGTTGCACTGCACGCATGCACTTACAATTAACATCCACGTCAAAAAATCTCAGAAAAGACATCAGTGACTTCAATGTCCAGAAATGTCTACAAAATTGTTGAGAAAAAAGATGAGCAATTATTTTCTGGCAACATTTTGCAGATTCTTATTTTTGTTTAATAATTTTGAATGTTATTATGAAAGGAGACACAAGCTGACTTTGGCATTCATGATGAATTAATTACAAGAACCTGCAGGCTTCAAAATTCAATGAAATTGAATTGAATCTACGTCTTTGTTATGTACACATGTACAATCATATTGAAGAAAATGAAACCTTTGTTCATATAGTATACAAGTTTTAAAAAAAATAATTTTTTTTAAAATAAACTACTAGTACTCTTTGTGCAACAAACTGAAATGAGATGTTTTCATTGGCTGACTGAGTAACATTGGGACATTTTCGCTAACTTTGTTGCATACTGTGCTTGTTAAATTTATAGATACTTATAAGATTAAGGAATGCCTTTGTTGGGGGCAAGAGTATATATGAATTATTGATATAATTTATTGACACAAATGTGCATTTAAAGATCTATATATCGACAATTTATTCAGTGGAATAGAATAGAATTACAGATAACATTAAAAATTATATTTTTAAGATAATATTTCTTCTCAAAAGTTGCGTGCATTTCTGTTTTACAATATTTATAATTAAATAATATTAATATACATATGCATGCAAAGCACAAGAATTCTGTGAAACACGGGGGCACTCAAATACGAAAGTTATACACGATGTTGCCGTAGCCAAAAAATTCCCTAGATACAAGTCAACTGGATTGAGACCCGGAAATGACGTCCTTTTACGGTCAGACCAAAATTTCCTTAGAACAAGGACCATGTTGCAAATTCTCGGGAATCATCAGACCTCTATTACAAACATCATAATTGTTATATTTGAAAAACGTTTACCAATAGCATTTCAGACAAGAACAAGTCCAACTGCAAAGACTGAAAACTTCATTACAACTATTATGACACCAGTTTAAATTACGGACAATTTCATGTACATTTCTAATTTGAGGCGCCCATCGAGTAGTTTGGAATATTTACAAAAAATAATAATAATTACAATCAATAAACATGGAAATCACGTGCGGTAGATTAATAATATTATAATTGTATAATAGATTGGATAACGACTTAGCACTTGACTTACCATGGTGCAAAGAATTCAACCAATATTATATCTTGTTCGGCGACAGTGTCTTCAAAATCGTCGTCTGTTAACTCAAGGACATCACTCGCCAATGCCAGCCCCACAAGGAGCGCAAATGAGAGAAATTTTTGCATGATATTTGGTAGTGCCTGCAACCAAAAAGACGTATGGAAAATTACTCTTGTTCTTTTAGTAGCTATATGTGTGCAGCATGAGCCAATCCAAAATGGCGGCGTGTCCCGTGCATCGCTGTCGGGCTCTGATTGGTCGAAACTCTGATTGAACCATTCTGGAACAGGGATCAAGACACATGTGCAGTGGCACAGATGATCTTTTCTGGGGTCTGTCCACACGTTTTCGTCCGCCTTCCGTAGCACCTATCACCCATGGTGTGTTATACGCACACATGATGTATTAGCCACTGTATATTTTAAATAATGACGAATTCTGGTTATTATGTTGTATTTATATGTCTAGTTTTACCTCCTGGTAAACCGGAAATAAGCATGCAGGGTCAAACGGTACGCCATAAATATATAATAATATAATCAGTGTATAATATCAATGTGGGAATCGTGGTATTAAACTTGGATAGAGTAAACATCAATGGTATCCGAGATCGGTTATTTCTAACTATCACATCAGCTAACAACTAACCAACAAGACTTTTTTTATGACTCGTGTTCGTATGACATTTTTGATCAAAATTGATTTAATATTATGTATAAATGGCGAAACAAACAAACTAATTATTTAATAATATGTCTCACGGTAACTGATGTGTTGTACATGCACAATGGTAGCTTTGACAGACAGTACCTACATGTACTTTATATTCTTTCAAGTGGATATTTCCACAAGGTTGTAGAAAAATAATGGGGAAGAAGAGGCAATGGCAACAGGTGTTAGAAATAAAAGTAATGGGGGATAGAGAAAACGAACGGGATGCAAAGAAACGCAACTCACAATATCTAGAGTGAGTTTCAAAGAAATTACGATGATCCGAAATACACAATGGAGCATTTTTCATTGTTTTCATAATGGGATTTAATGTTTTTATGTAACTAAATTTATAGTTTGTATTAATTATTCGAGATCCATCCACTGGCCGCCTCTATCATGCCACATGGGTACTATGTTGTGTATTGTTAATATTTATAAGAGCAAAGTTTTGCTCCAAATTTAAATTCTGGTCGACATGTGTTATTACAACAACATATGCTCATTCCAATGATGAAGAATATATTGTACAAATTACGCTGACCCATGTATGTATATATCTTAGATGATGTTTGGTAAAAATAACCAATACATGTAATAGGCTATGCTAAGGAAAATAGCTAAATAACAAAAAACACTCACAAAAGACGACAACCCATCCCCTTGTACAGGTGAAATTAAGGTGCCCCCCTCAGATTTTGCAGCCCACCCCAGTCGTGAAAACTGAGTCGTCCCGTAGTCGATACCTGTAAAAAATAAAATGAAATATATATAATAGTAAATATATAAATATATATAGTAATTCAAATAATGCCATATTGAAAGACGGCCTAGTTTTTTTTTCAGTACAAGTACCGAGACCGAAACGAGATATATTGAAAACGAACATGTTTAATTTTACTTGATTTCATGTTGCAGGGATATATTTTTTTTTTTTTCTTTTTTTTTTTTTTTTTTTACACAGGATTCTATAAACTTTTGATATTCACTGGGTTCTAATTTAGCGTTACGGCACCATCACCGAAATTAAATAATGAATGTCCCACTTCAGGTTAGATTTCGGATAAAGGTGGGACCACCTGAAATCCTGACGAAAACAAATATTATTAAGTGTTGTAAAATACTGATTATTACTTGTTTTTTGTTTGTTTTTAAATGTTGTTGTACCAGGTGTCAGTTCTGGACATTGAACTAATGCCACTGTTGTCTCTCCTGCCTTTTTTAATTGAAATGCAATTGCTAGTGCTAAGAACGCATTTTGTCGCAGACGCCATATTCATGCGTGAGACAAGCACATACGGACCAAGGTTTTTTCCAGAAGTCGCATTCGTTCGTGAATGAATCTCTGCCAGTGGGATTGGTCTTCCCATCGAGTCTGCGGCACACTAATCCAGGGTGGGGTCGACCCATTTGGTGTTCAGCCTAAAGTTTTAACTCGAGCCTACCGATCATGAGTCTGATGCAACTACTTCTATGTTACCGCTGAGTGATCCCCGGTTGAAAACAAATTTGCAAAATGAGGTGACATTGCTTGTTACTTTTCCAAAGATCACATTCAAACTCACTTCAAACCAGCCTTTTTAATTGCACAACATAATATATATTTTATTTCTTTCGTGATATTGCTCAATTTTGAATGTTTTGTAATATTATGTACGATTTATTTCCCTCCAGAGATGGTATGTGTAAGATTAGTATTCGTAATACTGGTTGATACATGTAACGTCACGGCCTGTATTATCAACTCACCAGATATAGATTGTAATATAAATCAGAAGGACTGTGCCCTCTGCAATACTAGTTAAAGTGCCTGTGAAATGGCTGCTATTTTCACACCTAAAATTATCCATTGATACATAAATATTATTAATTTTTATGTTTCTAAACATAAATTATTTTTTTTAAGTGAAAAAATGCGTTTTAAACTCAGTCTACGGCAACTTTATTTTTGTGTATTTTAAAACGAGGCTCCTCATTAGCTTCTCATTTGCATACAGAAATTCCCCCTGTGACGTCAGAAGGGGAAGTTGCTGTGTATCTTGCATTGCCGATACATATAAAAAGGCGAATTTTCTGTGCTGTTTTCTCGTCTTTGACTAAATTGCCACTTATGTACTTGTTCGTCGTGGAAGAATGGACCATAATGAACACATAGTATCAAGTTTGTTGCATCGGGTTGAGTCAGATGCGAAATATGTCCGGTCTGGTGTAGCTAGTCACCGTGGTCGTCACAGTCACCGGCGTACACTGTCGCTGGACTCCGGCATTGGACAAAATCGAATTTGATGCCTGAATCGTCTTGTTATTTAACAGGTTACTAGGCATGTCACCACACTGTTTTATTTCATCGATCGTCTGAGTAAAAAAACACATTCAAAATTAAAATTAAAAAAACAACATATTTTGACATTCTAAACATTAAATTATAGTGATCACTAAAATAGAGAAATGATTAAAAAAAAACGACAAAACACAGTTACTAAATAAATGACTGCCGCGTGGAAATAAATTTTTTGTAATGGGTGAACGCGTTGGATAACAAAAATAATTGAGAGCGACTCACATACAGACAAATGCAGAGTGGATTTAGCGTGATTTTCATAATTATGACATCATATTAAAAAAATACATTGACAGCCCAAGCCCGGATTCTTATTCCATAAATTATGACGCAGATCAAGCTGCAAGTAAAGGCAACAAAGGTGTGAATTCGACATTCAACACCAAACACCGAACACTTCAGACACTTTTAGCCCGCGAAAATGAAAATAACCTAAGAGCCGCGTGATTTCCTGTTTCTCCGACGCTTCGTTTTCGCGTCATTATCAAAATTACTGTTACCTTTTACATAACACGGTTGATCTCTATAAAGCGATAATCAGGATCGCAAAAAAGTCAAATCATTTGAAACACTTACTCGACGTCTCTCTTCCTTCTGAAATCCGCCTCAGTGATCATGGGCTGGTCCAGAATCTATTTTTTCGAAAACGTTTTGTATTGCGCCAGGTTTAAGTTGTCGGCGTTTCTCGTTAAAACCATGGAACTATAATAGTTCCATGTTAAAACCTAGTTGTTTTGTCATGGACAAGGATAGTTTTTCGAAAAAAGGAATTTGAGGTGAAGTCGACACTACATATGACGCTGTAAGGAGGAAGTCCACCCCAACCTTTTCTCGTTATTTTCACGGCTTTCGTCCACTGATTTCGCACCTTCGGATCGATTGGAAACGTGTAAATACTTGCACTATGACTATACACATTACTGCAACCGCCCACAACACAACGTTTAACCATCATAAATGTTTGTTGTGAAAACAACTTCTAAAAATTCGCTCTCTCAAAAATATAATGAAATAGACAAAAAAAAGAAACGCCGATCAAAAAATGTATATCGTTTAAAAGTATGTTGAATGACACAGTGATATAAAAGTACGACCCATGGGTATGGCTTCCTCTCATAATAACATAATAACACATGTTTGTGAGGGTAATATCACGATTTGTTGCCTGCCCAAGGGATGGTGTTCATGACCATAATATTGATGATACCAGTGCAGCGAACGACAATTTGTAAAAGTCTATGAGTTAAAACATCAAAGAAAAGCTTCATACTTCACCACCCGGACTTCAAGTCGTAACCGAGATTCAATTTGAGTACTGAGTGCTTCTCATCTTCAACTTCATTTCGGTTGTAAACAGTGCACTGCAGTCTTATTTCTAAATTGTGTGCTGCTCAGTGTTTTGTAACAGTACTGTTGATAAATAATTTCATTCTGGTAATTTTGTACCCGGTAATCTGGTATCTGTCTTACTATGTGTAGATTGTTCTTTTGGTTTGTATTTTTATTATCATCATGCATTTGATGACTGTTGTTTTCAAATATTTGTTTTGTTGTAAATTATGTTGATTAAATGTCTTTGCAATTTGGAGCATTTTCCCCAAGTCTTATCCATTTCTGAATAGTGCAAAATATTAATACCAGATATCCAATTAAAGGGCGGTGGTCGTACCCAAATGGTCGAATTTTGTGTAAACAAACAAACAAGCAAACACGCGTTATATACGTCGCTGTGGGCCGATATCGAACACGACGCAGCGAGACGACCTCCATCCTTTACATTGTAAGTATGCCTTTACCGTCCATCTCTATTCCCAAGTATTAATGCTTCGTGGACTACGGTAGTGTGTTTTCACTCTCAGTTTTTATTTTTAAACAATATTTTAACATTCGTTTTATACGAGCTTGAATTTAAAAAAAGCTGCCAATGTGATGTATTCCCCGTCTTTATGAACATCTCTCACTGATCTCTACATACAAATCGTAACATTTCCAGCACAAGTCCCCTCCGCTCAACACATTAAAGTCAGCAGAAGTCAACGGGATGAAAGGCTAGTGTATACAGAAAAATAGTTAGCTCATAACAAAAGACTCAAGTAGAATTACAGTCAGTTCTTCTTTTTTTTTTTTGTAGCTCTATGATACTAGCCCAGGTAAGTAAAATAGGTTTTCTACCCGATTTCAAAAATAAATGCCGAGTTACTGGCCATACAATTAATCAGTAATAGGCATTTGCAATTTTTTTAATGGAATTTTCCCATTGGTAGCTCACTATTAAAAATTTCTTTTTAGTACACAATTCTATTGCCGAGATTTTGCTGAGTTCTGCTACGTTCGTCAGTTGTATCTCAGACTAGTAATACAATTGTATTACTAGTCTGAGATTGTATTTATTTTGACATGGCTGTTTTAGGGATATTTACAAGGTCCCAACGAAAACTCAGACTACCGGTACTATATAGTTCTAGTAGTCTGAGCTAGAAGCGCTTTACCGTTCTTACAACTAGACATTTATAAACTTGATTTCTTGACTCTGATTAAGTTTTGGACCGGAATTTCTTACAGGCATTGCTTTTTCATTCCATATTTCCTCAGACATCTATTTTAGTCCATGGAGCTAAAAAAAAGAGCTCCATGATTAGTCTGAACATGGAACATAGCTCTATGGTCTGAACTTAACTGAACTGAACTGCTGAATACAACCAGGGAGCTGTAATGATACAACACAAACAACAACAACAACAAAGCCTTTTATTTCTATAGCGCTAAATGTGATACTAGTATACAAAAAAGAATTAAAATTATCAAACGTATTTTCCAGTTGTTGTCCATTAATTACAAATTTATGATTTGCCAGATTTGTCGCAGCAAACATAGAAAACACACAAAGAAGACTACCGATACGGAGTCCTGAAGGCCCCTTCACTTTTCTGTATTTAGTACTCGTGGTCCCGACCAGACTATTCAAATACGGCGAAATCCATACAAACTTAAAACACGTTACCGTAAAATCAGGTGACCAAATGTATCGGGTCAAAGATCAGCTGCACATGTGATCAATATCCAACATGGCGACCTCCGCTGGTAAGCACTGTTTAATCACTTTGAGACAAATACTTTTCTCTGGCTCATGTCTGTTGATCTACAAATCAGTCGTATTGTTATATCAGGTCAGAAAGGTTGATAGTTTGGCTCTATGAATTTGAATGGATCGACTGCCAATGCAAAACAACACGTACGTCGCCCGTGTGAATCTTTTTAGGGGTTTATATTACCATTTTTAAAATGTGGGGGTTAAGAGCACACACAACAAATACGTGGTTTGTGACGAAGAATCAAACCAAAGACCTTACTACTGGTGGGTCTATGATAAAAAAAAAAAATGAAGAATAATTTGTTCGATGACAAATTGTCAAAGAATTGGAGAACATATCCTATATATATTCATATATATTTGCACCCTGCCGATTCTGTTGAGTAAACCGCTATTTTTTTTCCCATGCGATGTGATATAAATATAATACATTTTGAGCGCCCTTCGACCCTGCCCATACTCGTCTGGAACCGTTGCCTCAATTTTGCTTGTACAGTCAGTAGATGGCCACAGCGTTGATTGGTTTTCTTAGACATGCTTTAAATGTGGCCCATTTAATTATAAGTAACGTGCATGATCTAATTCAACATTGGTAACTTCTACAGACACAAACATGAAGATCAAAATACACACATCTAAATCTTATTGTGTTTATTTCTAGTATCCTTAATCAGGAGAGGATGTCACATATTATGCAGACAAATACTTGTCAATCAACTGAGAATACCCGTCGTTGCTCTCCAACCTCAGACAACAGCATTTTTATGTATGTCAAGTAGGCAATTTCAAGAGGATGTATCTGTAAAAACAGAAGAGGCCTCTCCTGAAACTGAAACAGAACAGGATTTAAGGTGAGAGAAATTAACTTCTTTTTCTTACATCATCTCAAAATATGTGATTAAAAAGACAAAATAGGCTTGATGCAAGCTTTTAGAGTACTTGAAAATTAGTGGATATATTATTCTGCATCACAAAATGTACTTCATATCATCCTCTGAAGAAATCAGATAACAATATATTTGTAACCTTACTGCTTACAAACTAATATGAACAAATACTTGTTTTCTCTAGCGGCTGACAACATTCAGCGTACGCAGGTGCGTGATCATGTTTGTTTGTTACGCATCGCACCATTGGATAGTATTTCAAGTGTCTCCGCCCATCTTACAAAACTGTTTTATGTATGTTCAGGTATACAGAGTATGAGATTGATTTGACCCCACACTGGTGTCTTCATTCATCATTCTCTGTCTTTCTTATACCAACCTTCCCAATCAATAATAACTTTTCCTTTTTGTCTTTTTGCAGTATTAGCCACACATACCAGAGACCGACTGACAATTTAATATTCGGTGGAATTGCGTTTAAGGACCTACCTATTGTCCATATCAAATCAACTTACAATAACACACACTTCCATGTTACTGACTGCTCTTGTAAGTATCTGTTAATTGCTTATAAAACAAACTTGTCTGGGAATATTATTTGTATTATTTGCATAGAAATGTGGCATTGTTGTACTGTGGAAAGACTGTGAACATTAGTTTTACAGTACAAGTCCACTGCCAATGACTGGTGGGAATACATGTGACAGTTGCTACTTATACCTTGACAATTCGTGTTCAAACTTCACACACACCATCCATCTTGTGATACCTACCGGTATGCACATGCAGTCGTTTTGTGAGCTGATTCAAGATGGCCAAATTTTATACATACTTTATGGGACTTTGATGAACATCATTTTGTTTTGTACATTAGTTTCAAAATGACTGACTGGCTGCCACTTTTTTTTTAATGAAAGCTGTTCCAAAGACATGCCTTAACCAGGCACTTCCAAACTTCACCATTTGTTTCGTTATCCAATTCAGGATATTTGAAGTCAATTAAATATCTAAAAATGCACCAAAATCAAGCATTTCCACCATATGAAACTTTACACATATGTTATTTCAAGTCTGATTCAAAACTTGTTTCAGTTTTTTTAAAACTTTTGCTCGATGGGAACTGTGTCATTTGTCAATTATATTATGATTCTTGCTCAATGCATCTTGCATACATGAACTCACAATTCCCCCAACCTAGAACGCATCTATTTTGATTATTTGTATTTTAGGATGTACATTCATATATATTGTCTGCGAGGTGGACTCATCCTCTATGCTAGTAATGAAATGTGATGTGTTTTTCCCTATACCAATGGTGGTAGCTGGTACTAAACCACAATGCCAGTCACTTGCACTCTTTGTGTTACATTTCTTTTAAAGAGTTGTCGTGATGTGTCGTGTAAGATGTGGGTTCCATAGCGATGAATACAACATCCGTAAAATGCATTGTTTTTTTAAAGGAAATGTTAACATGTGTTGCGCAACCACCCTTCAATGATGTTTATTTTTATGTTAAGTTTTTATGTTTACTTAACAGATAAAAGTCTGGTGAGGACATCATGTGTAAGTATTGTTCATTTCTGATTTTCAGCTCACCTTGTACTCACACTTGCCAGTTTCTATTGTTATTTCACTTCATTGTTGAAATTAAGTTACTGATTCGTCAGAGTGCCGTGTCGCGTGCCGTGTGCCGTGAAAGAAATTAGTTCATTATTGGCTTTGAGTATCCTGCATCTCGTATGTGCCTGCGAAGAAAGCTTGTACACATGAAAAGCAAGATGGTCAGTTTCAGTGGTTAACCCACTGTTAAGTCTGTGAAAAAAAAATATGTTTTTTAATAGTTAAACTTTAAACGTTGATTTCTTGCATTAGTTATTTTGAACTATTGAAATATTATTACTACTCAAGTTGATTTTAGACTTTGTCTGGTAAATATTGTGAAATCACCAAACCATTAAAAAACACAAAAATAAATTATTATATACTTTTACATATGCAGATTGATATAATTTAGCATCATACCTGTATATTGCCAATCGACTTTCAACACTTTACTATTATGTATGTGATAAATATAATATCCATCAATATTTTCACTTGAAAAAAGTTTGGCATAAGCAGACACTTGTGATTACCACTAGAGATTTATATCAATTCAACGATTAAGTGATGATTGCTGATGCTCTTGCGTCATGAGATTATATATAATTATAAAATCATAACAAATAAACTTTATAATGAAATTTGTCGAAATCCAACAAGTGGACCAATCAGGAATGCCTTTAAAGCAGTGTGTCCATAATCTACAGAACCATTCTATTCTGACAGTGCTTCATTTTTCAGGGAACTGAAGGTTTTAAGAATGCCAGAAAAGCGACGGGGGTGGCAGCACAAACGGCCGGTATTGCTGCAGCTGCTGTGAGTATAATATTCTCAAATCGTGACACAGCGTCAATTCTTATGTTTGTAGCTATCTCATGGATGTGACACTTCCTGCTGTCATGGCAACACTGATGTCATGTTTTATAAAAACCTCTGTAGGTTTTTTTTTCTTCAGTCACTTACTATATATTGTTATTCATAAACATTAAGAGGTGCTTAGTTTTGGGTATGTTTGCATCCAAAACGTCTAAACATGTTTGATTTACTGTAAAATTCTTTATTCTCACTTGAGATTTATTTTCTCTGGAAGAATGGTTCAGTGGAAATAAAATCCAGCATATATACTTTTTCTTCTATATTTTACATTCCATTCAGCAAAAATCAGGGAAAATAAACTACATACAAAACCCCCAAAAAATATTTTCAGCAAAAATTAATTCCAGCTTAAATTAAAGTATTTGCAGTATAATATACTTTTTTACTTCTATGTGATTTGCTGCTTGCCATCAAATTACTGACAGAAGGCCAAGGAAATTTTTTAGTCCCCGTTCGGACGCAGTCCGAAAACAGGGACTTATGTTTTGACCTTCGTGCGTTTGTGCGTGCGTCTGTGCGTGCGTCCGACCCTGTATCTTAGAAATGCCTGGACCAATCACAATCAAACTTCACACATACATCACACATGATATTATACAGATGCACGTCAATTTGTTTCACGATCTGATTTAAGATTGCCGAATGGCGGCCATTTTTGTGCTAAAAATCATCAAAATCAAGCATTTCTCAGCTGTTTATAGATGGATTTTGTTCAAACCTTGTATATACGTTGGACATTATAGGACCTTGATGAACAACATGTTGTTTTATGATCTGATTTAAGATGGCCGAATGGCGTCCATTTTTGTGCTGAAAAATCCTAAAAATCCAGCATTTCTCGGCTGTTTACAGATGGATTTTGTTCAAACTTTGTATATACATTAGACATTATGGGCCCTTCATGCAAATAATTTTGTTTTTCAGATAAGATTCAAAATGGCCGGCTGGAGGCCATTTTGTTTTAATGAATGTGGTTCTTGTGCCATATCTCTGACTTGTTTTGACTGATTATGTTCAAATTTTAAATATTCATTATACATCATGTCATAGATAAACAGATATATAGGTTCGACGATCATATTCAAAA